GAAATTATTAATTTTATAAATTTATCTTTCAACTAGGTTAAGGTACCTAATATTTTAAAGATATGTTTTAAGTGGAAATAGCTGAGAAAATGGTAGTGATAATGTTGATCTAAAAAGTTAGCAGCCTACCTAGCTGGCATAGCTCAGTGATTAAGCGTCAAACTATGAACCAGGAGGTCACAGGCTCAATTCCCATCAGGGTACTTGTCCGGTTTGTGGTTAGAGAATATACTGGATTGAATGGTCCCCAAAAAGATATGTGTCGAATCTTAATTCCTGGGAAATGTGAAGGTTACCTTATTTGGAAAAAAAGGGTCTTTTGTAGATATAATTAAATTAAGGATTTTTAAAAAATTTACTTACTGGTTTTTAAAGAGAAAGGGAGAGAGAAACATCGATTTTGTTATTCCACTTATTTATGCATTGATTGTTAGCAGCCAAAGATATCTTTTAATGACTAAAGTGTACATTCTAAAAATAGAGGTTGTCGTTATACCAGGAAGGCAAGCAGCAATCAATACTTACATCTGGAATATGCACTCTTAGGGATTTGATGTGTTTGTTAAAAGCCCGAGGCAATGGGAAGTACAGGAAGAAAATGTAAATAAAACAAAACAAAACAAAACAAAGAGCACACAAATGAAGAAATATTTCCAAGGTTCTCATATCAAAAATAACCAGTTCCGTCTTCACATTTGTTTTAGAAATGTCTTTTTCCAACAATGTTAAAGCAAGAAAGGAAATATTTATGAAAAAGAACACAATTTCAAATATTTGTCATAGCTCCAGAGAACAGAGACAAGGAGAGGGCTTGGGGCAGGGTAGGGGTGGGGAGAAGAAAGCTTCTTATTTTGGTCCAAACATTCCCATCCGGGGGAAATACACCTTTGTGTTCTCCTCGCCTCTAGCAATGAGTCCCAGAGCATCCTCTTTGCCTTACATCTCCTCAAGGCCTCCGGAGAATGTTCACAAGATCTATTGTCTCAGCTTTTCCCCGATTGTGTATAAAAGGCACCGCAATGCTGACAATGCATTCCAGTACCCAACCATGTGAATTCTTTTAAAAAGAAGCTTATTCTTTAGATGGGATTTGACACAATGGCACAAAATAATCCCCACAGGTGTTTTAGAAAGACCAAATCCACTGAGGATAGGATTTAAAAGGAAGAAAAAAAGACACCGAAAACCCATTTTCTATCATGCAGTTTAAAAAAAAAATAAAAAATCCCACCAACCAATATTTAGCTTTGGATCAGGTATGAGGCTGAAATTGGTTGAACTCCCCTGGGCCATAAGGGAAACAGGCAGGCATATTTCTCTGAATACAGACATTGGCAAGAATATTAAAGTTGTTCTGACCCAACTCTGTGACCTGGCTGGGTTAATGATTTCTTTCCCCCTAATCATGTTTCTGTGAAGGAGTTTTTATCATTCTAAAAAGGTTCTGCACTCCTCACAGCCAGCGTCCTCCGGCATCCCAGCCAAGGCCTGGCAGTGGCTTTTTCCCATTCAACACGCGGGAGGCGAACTGCGCACGGTGCCGGGCCTCCAGGACAACCAGGCTCCTGCTGCTTTCACTCACACCCCAGGTGGGTAAGTTCTGATGACAACTGCAGCTTCTGTCTTACTTCTGTGCAATGTCCCCCATACTTTTTATTTTTTTCCATCCAAGATTGTCACAGCAGTAGAGGGAGTGGAGGCTCATTTAGGGCCCCATTTATAATTCCACAACCCGGTCTTGTAAATATCTCATGAAAGTCAGAGAGAGGTCAGAGAGAAAGGATCACATCTGAAAAATTAATAAACACCCCTCTCCCTGGGAACTCTTTTAGTCTCCCTCTTGTTCCATTTATATCCAGATATTAACTTTTCTGAGGGAACTTCAGTCCAACAGACTATTTCTTCTAAACACAGCTTCATTTTTTTCCTAAGGCTGATGGCCATAGATTACAACCAGACTATTTTTGCCTATCCACAAAGCAGCTTTCAGGTAGCATAACCACCTGTGATCGAAATATAGTTACTTATCTGTCCCCTACCTAAGCCACTTGTATCAGATGACATTTCACTTAAAATCCTGGCCTTAATTTCCAGGACGATGATTGAATCCTCAAGAATATAAGAAAAGCAACAGTTTCCTAATCTTTAAAACAGGGAGTAGACATGAGGATTATATGGGTAAAGGTTCATGTAAACCCCATTTACCCTATAAACAGTATTGAGATAAATGTTTAGCCCCAACATGGAGCTGCGGGATCCCCCAAAACCAAGCCAACTCTGGGCTCTATACTTATTTCCTTGCTCTTTATTCATTTTCTGTTTTTCTCTTCTTTGTCCCTTATTCTTTACCCAATAAAAGCTTCCTGTCTGCCACTCCACTGTGCAGTTCTGTGGACCCTTGAGAGTGGAGACTGTCCACTTTATGAAGTACTAAATCATGGTTGTTTGTATCACCTACGCTGTCTTTTTAAATCATTTTAACAAGAGTAACATTTTGGGTTCAATGTCAATAAAATTAAATATAGCCTGGCCGGCGTAGTTCAGTGGTTGAGCGTCGACCTATGAATCAGAAGGTCACGCACGGTTCGATTCCAGGTCAGGACACATGTAAGGGTTGTGGGCTCGATCCCAGAGTGGGACATACAGGAGGTAACCAATCAATTATTCTCTCTCATCATGAATGTTTCTATTGCTCCCTCCCTCTCCCTTCCTCTCTGAAATCAATAAAAATATTTAAAAAAATAAAAAACAAAATTAAAGTAACAAGATAATTCAACGTGAAAAGAGTCTTTCTTCATAAAGAAATCTATCAGCCCTCAAAAGCCTACAGAAGTAGAGATGTGCTCCAGATAAAGGTGACCTGAATATTCAGTGCTGTTAGCGGCAGGGAGAGAGCTAGGTAGAAGAACATTTTAATATTCCGTGGGAACAGATGCTTCGTACTCACAAGAAACTTCATTCAATAGAATTAATCAAATCTCCCTTGTGACTATCTCCACATTCCACATTCTTGATTGAATACTCCCAGGCTCCAGGCACTTGGCTCTAGCTGAAAGCTTTTGCCACCGCCCCACTTCACGCTGGTGTCTCCTAGTGACCTTCCCAGTAGCTTGGCTGATGCCCCAGGGCTCCAGAGCTCTGATCCAGGCTGAATAGCCACAGAAGACTTGATTCCAATGCTAACCCTGTGATCACAACTCCATTCTTTCCTCTGCCCAGCACCACATTGTGCTTTAGACAAAAATTAAAAAGACTTCAAAATACTGAGGGATTCAAGACTAATGCTCACTCACAATGGATATAAAAATATTCCAGTAATATACAAATATGTTATGCTAGATTCCTTAGAGCTACAATCTTTTAACAATCTTCAAACATATTTTGCTGCGAAAGCCATGTTAAAATTTTAAGTAAGGTTCTCCCGTTCTCTCCTAATTCTCCTCTACTGCTATATTTTCCTAACTCAATGAGATTAACAGGGTAAACACTCCATTTACTTTGAAATATATTTTTATATGCCATGCATTAGCTGGAAGGTAAGATGTTAAAAACTAAAGAAACAAAAGAAAATTGTATTTGTGTTTGAAATGTATTTACATAATTTTTGAACTAGTGTAGTTTCCTGGTATTATTTTTAGACTCAGAACATTCTCACAGCTAAACCTGTACAACTATTAGCTCTGTAAATAATTTAAAAATATATTGCTACTAATCACCCCAAAACAGTGAAATTTAATTTGACTACAATAATTTTGATATTTAAGTAATATATTTCTACCTATTGGGCTTTCTAGCTAAAGTCGCTTCAATTAAATCTTACTAGGTCAGCAATTTTTAACTGGTGTGCCACAAAAATTTGTTAAACATGCAATATCTGACTATTTCGTCAGGGGCACTGACCTCTTTTCCCTTCCAGCGGTTCTTAACCTGTGGGTCGCGACCCCTTTGGCGGTCGCAGGACCCTTTCACAGGGGTTGCCTAATATCATCCCGGATATCAGATATTTACACTACAATTCATAACAGTAGCAAAATTACAGTTATGAAGTAGAAACAAAAGTAATTTTATGCAATTATGAAGTAGCAACAAAAATAATTTTACGGTTGGGTGACAAGATGAGGAACTATATTTAAAGGGCCAGAAGGTTGAGAACCACTGCTTTAGACGGTCAAATTAAAAAAGAAAAATGACAACAGCCAACACAACAAAAGCTGTCTGGTGTGAATGAATCAAAATTATAACTATTTATTGTCAGATCAGCAAAAAATATATTTCTCGGTATGCCCCAAAATTTAGTTTATGTGTGCCATGAGATGAAAAAGGTTGGAAATCACTGTACTAGATCAATAAAATTAAATTGGGGAAAATCCCACTCTTATCCACAGTTATTGTTATTCAAATTCCCAAACAAAACAAGGCACAAATACAAAGTTCCAATGCTTCTCTGGGAAGGTACCGCAGCTGGACGTGCCTCAAAGATGCACTTCCATCGTCTGGTGATTTTCATGAACTTGGCTGCATATTCTCTTTTCAAATGTTGAGAACGTTTTAAGGAATTTGTAAGGTCCCTTAAAACGTAACAGATTATCTAGCACAGCGGTTCTCAACCTGTGTGTCGCGACCCCTTTGGGAGTCGAATGACCCTTTCACAGGGGTCGCCTAAGACCATCAGCAAACACATACATAATTACATATTGTTTTTGTGATTAATCACTATGCTTTAATTATGTTCAATTTGTAACAATGAAATTGGGGGTCACCACAACATGAGGAACTATATTAAAGGGTCGCGGCATTAGGAAGGTTGAGAACCACTGATCTAGCTCAACTAATTTCATTGCTGGAGTGTTAAAATTAAAACACTCCAATTTAATTTTAACACCTAAAATTAAAGTGTTAAAATTAACACTTCCATGCCTTTTACCTCCTGGGAGCATCTTACTTATTTCTACATCTGTATTCTTTCTTTCAATTGGAAAGGTGGAGAAAAATCAGTCGCTATTTGCAAACACCCTTGAAGCTTTAGCTGAAAGGTCTTTTGACGAGCAAAGTAGCCATCGTTAATATCTCCTGGCATATTCTGTCCTTCCTGATCCACACTTACAAGTGATTTGCACTGGTTCTTAAGACCCAGCATTGGCTTGTGTTATGACATTAGGCTCAATCTAGCGGTCACCTCGACTGGGAACCTCAGTTATGTTCGCATTAAGTTACATGCTCAGGAATGGGCCTGGGGAAGCCACGCCATCTTCTTCACGTCAAGTAAAGTAAATCGCACTGGATTGTCACATTTGCCTAGCACTTTGCTTGGCAATAAATTGAAGTACTCGAAGGAGCTAATGAACCTAGACTAACCACCATCTACAGTTATCCACTTACCAGCCAGCATATGCATACATTCCATAATAGAAAGCCAGTGGCAAGCCCATGATACTGGCGTCTCTTCCTGAAAAGGCATCTTTAAAGTGTTGTGTTTGCCCTGCAATGAGAAGGAAAAGATTTGAAGACTTTTCAAAGAATTGGTTATTATTCATAAACATGGGCAGGGGGAAGGGAGGGATTGGATAAAAACTATACTGTTTGGGGTCTAGGTTTCTTACCATCTTCCCATTGCCAATGTTATCTATTAATACTGTATTCATTCTAGAGATGGAGTCCCCAAAGTATATTGACCACCACTAACACTACTTTACACTTCTCTTTTAATAAAATTATAGCAAAGAGGAAAATGGTATTTTTTTTAAAATCCCTTATTTGAGCATGCCTCTAACTCTTGACAGAGTTTGACCATGAGTGAAGATTAAAGGATCTTTGCTAACCTACAGTTTATAGGAGTATGATAGAATTCTTTAAGATGAAGATAATAGAATGGTAGGGAGGAAATATCCATGATTTATTCTCAAGGAGGAGGTGGCAAGAAAGCCCTGAAGCACATTCTTATGTTATTTAACTTCCTGCTTTTCCCCAGTAGTTCATGAGACACCAACAGGAATTGGAAAACCTTGCAACTAAATTTGCTCCACCCCATGCCCCCACCACCACCCCAGCTTCTTTGGTAAATAAAGTTTTATTGGAGTGCAGCCAGGCCCACTAGTGTTATGATTGACACCGCCAGTCTATGGTTGATGTCACCTTAAAACAGCAGGTAGGGTTGTTGTGACAGAGCCCATATGGCATGCAAAATTAAGAAGATTTAGTATCGGCCCTGTGCAGAAAGTCCGCTGATGTTGTTCTAGAGAATGGCATGGGTTCCTTCTAGAAACACTGAAATTATACTGAACTTTAAAATAGATACATTTTAACAAATTTTGCATCAACATGTGGATTGAAACTATTATTGATCACATTTTTCTCTACTTTGTGAATCATAACGGGCCCTTTTCTTGTATGTCTTTTAGACAGTAACCAAAAAACAAGAATTCAGATTTAGTCAGCCAATATCTGAAGTGAAGCATAAAAAAAAGTCTCTGTCCCAAAGCAAATAGCAAATGAGATTATCCTAATAGGACGTGTGGTACTGTTTCAAAATTGGTCTTCACATAAGTAAATTAAAGGAGGTGGCTGATACATGAGACCCTCTCTCTTCAGTCCTATCTCAGTTGCTGCCTGGGTTGCCCAGCAACAACAGATATATCAACATCATACGTGTGAGTTTTGAGACCAACAGTGGAGAATGTTGAATTATACACTAAATGATTTTTCCCTCTAAGCATCCAATTCCCGAATGCAGCTCATTTTTTAAAATGATACAGTGAATTCAGAAATGCCTATTTTACTAAAACATCTCTTCCGCATAAGTGGGGACTATAAATGCTGGAACTCTGATAAAAACATCTGTTGTATTTTTTTTTTATCCTTGGCCTAAGGATTCCTAACAGCACTGAATAATCAGTAGGAGAAACCAAATCCTGATAAGTGCCTTCTTAGAGTATTACAGAAGAGAGGCTGAACTCCAGGGATACTGCGACTGCATCACAGAGGTCTCGGGGAGAGGGAAGTCATGATCTTCAGAGGAAAGCTTAACACATCCTCATAAGTAAATAGAGACCATAGAACTATTTTCAGGATCTGATTAGAGTAGACATAAATGCACAATCTATATCAGTAAAACAAAATAAAACAACACACACCCTTTTTCTCTCTGAGAGTTTCAAATTCATGTGGAAAATATATGATCTAGTTAGAGAAAAGAAACTTGCCATTTCATAGTCCTGGAGTAAATATACCTGCTAAGAATGCTCTCCAAAATGTTAAAATTTACTTTGAATGTGATAATCCTCTTGGGGCATTTCTCAGATTAGATATATGAGGAAGCCTGGTCACATTAAACACGGATATCCTAAGATTTTATCCTAAGGGTCATTCTAGTGTAAAGTGCTGAGAAAGATCCAAAAGGTATCTCATAGCTTCTCTTCTCAAGGAATCTACAACACAGTAGTATTTGGGCAACCTCCTCTCATCCCACACACACATTTAAGTAAGTGGTAAAAACTGACTACAGTCATACATTACATCAAAAAGGGTAAGGGGGGAAGGGATTTTGGTTTTCAAGGATGACATGTCACCTTTTGGAACCTAAGCTAGAACTAAAGTAGGGTCAATGATCTAGAGTTTCCACACTTTCGAAAAATGGAAGAAGCGCCTTACAGGAGACTAAAGAGTTAGCCCAGAAAAGGAAAGCACTAACAAAACATCATTTTCACTACAGTTCTCACGGGTCAGATAAAACCTGAGCAGGCCAGCTCTGTGGAGACCAAGGTGAATAAGGAGAGCCAGCGCATGTCTTCTCTTTATGGTGTTTATTCTGAGTAGGCCAAGGTTGCTGGATTGAACGCAAACATTTAGCCAGGAGGACTCTAAGAATTCCCACTGGGCTCATTGACTGGACAACAGCAAATCCCTTTCCCTGACCTTTTGCCGTTTGTTATTGTTTAATGCAGCGGTTCTCAACCTTTGGGTCGCGACCCCTTTAGGGGTCGAATGACCCTTTCACAGGGGTCGCCTAAGGCCATCGGAAAACACATATATAATTATATATTGTTTTTGTGATTAATCACTAAGCTTTAATTATGTTCAATTTGTAACAAAATACATCCTGCATATCAGCTATTTACATGACGATTCATAACAGTAGCAAAATTACAGTTATGAAGTAGCAACGAAAATAATTTTATGGTTGGGGGTTACCACAACATGAGGAACTGTATTAAAGGGTCATGGCATTAGGAAGGTTGAGAACCACTGGTTTAATGCCTCTACCATTTTGCTGAATTTTGGCATATCCTTTGCCTTGTGTAATTCTTCTGCAACTTCATTAAACTTCCCAATAAATTCCTTGGAACTGACAATGTCCATGTAAACATTAAATACTTTACATGCTCAAGTTATAGGTCACTCCCATACAATTCCACCTCACTTTCCTATTTACTTCCTACTATCATGCCCATTGCTAATTAAATCACTCACCCGGGCCTGCTTCTTTTCCAACAACTTCCCCTGAACCCAAGCTATAGCATGTGCCTCCTTCCCTAAAACAACTGAAACTCAAAATGACATCACCCACTCAACCACCTCAGGTTTCTTACTAAACAGTCAACTCTGTAAGGCAAGTATTCCCAGAAAATGGTGTTACATTTCTGTTGAAATGCAGAGTAGCCAAAACCGGTTTGGCTCAGTGGATAGAGCATGGGCCTGCGGACTGAAAGGTCCCAGGTTCGATTCCGGTCAAGGGCATGTACCTGGGTTGCGGGCACATCCCCAGTAGGAGGTGTGCAGGAGGCAGCTGATCGATGTCTCTCTCTCATCGATGTTTCTAACTCTCTATCCCTCTCCCTTCGTCTTTGTAAAAAATCAATAAAATATATTTAAAAAAAAAAAAGAAATGCAGAGTAATGTAACAATGATAATTGAGTACTCACCACTATTTTTGTCAGATAATATTTCGATTTTAGGAATGCTACTCCCTTATCTGTCTCCCTGCCAAAATTCTATTCTTAAGGTAAAGGGAGTAGTAACCATAAAGGAAAAGAATTATTGATCATCTTTTATTATGTTCCAGATATCTTTATTATCCCTGAACTAGTTTAAAGTTTAACCGCAGATTTTTTTTTTTCCACTTTGAGTTTTCACTTCAAACAGTTCACACCGAGAAAGAATTCACTGATGCCTTATTTTGTTGCTTGGCCCAGTCTTAATGCTCTTGTTGCCATTTAGCTCTAAATACCAACTCATCCTCAGGGTAGCAGGCTTTCATATCAATTAGATGACAGTATAGATTCCAAGATCCACAAGCAGAGACTAATTAAGGGATTCTGCTAGTACAAGCGAAAGTTAGTGTTGGAGAGACCAAAAGCAGATACGTACTTTAAAAAGCATTTATTTTTCAGTCCATACCTTTAATTAGCTGCATAACTCCAGGGACTATAATTATCAGAATTGCTATGAGCTTGCAAAAGGTTAGAAAAATCTGGATCCGGGCACTCCAGCTGACACTCATGCTATTTAGGACCATCACTGCAGCTGCAAACAGACACATGACAAACAAAAAACAGACAAAGTTACAAAAGGAGAATCCTTATTGGCATGAAGACATCGTAGGTCCTGATTACTCTACGGCAGCGGTCGGCAAACTCATTAGTCAACAGAGCCAAATATCAACAGTATAACGATTGAAATTTCTTTTGAGAGCCAAATTTTTTAAACTTAAACTATATAGGTAGGTACGTTGTTATTAACTTAATTAGGGTACTCCTAAGGCTTAGGAAGAGCCACTCTCAAGGGGCCAAAGAGCCACATGTGGCTCGTGAGCCGCAGTTTGCCGACCATGGCTCTAAGGGAGTGGTTCTCAACCTTCTGGCCCTTTAAATACAGTTCCTCATGTTGTGACCCAACCATAAAGTTATTTTCGTTGCTACTTCATAACTGTAATGTTGCTACTGTTATGAATCGTGATATAAATATCTGATATGCCGATGGTCCTAGGCAACCCCTGTGAAAGGGTCGTTCGACCGCCAAAAGGGTCGCGACCCACAGGTTGAGAACCGCTGCTCTAAGGGCCATCCAGGGAACCAGAGGTGTTGGCATGACCTGGAAGCATTGTGGAAAGCAGAAACTCGGGCATGGCTCAGACCCAAGAAATACAAATCTGCGTTTCAACAAGATCTCTAGGTGATTTTTATACACATTAAAGTTTGCGAAGCTTTTAGATAAAACATCTGAACAGTGAGAAGTCATTTTTTGTTCTTTTTTTTAATATAAGAGTGAATAGATAGTATAGTGCCTTAATGATTATATAAAAATATCTTCTAAGCAAATCCTGAAGTCATTGCAGTGCGCAGATTGCTGAATGCGACTCTTCAGCTTGCTAAGGCAGCAGCTATCTCCTCCCTCAGTGACTGTGTGCATATTCACCTCTCGGTGCGAATCACACTCAAGAAGAAGTAAGATGTTAGGAACGTGGCTGGGACCCTACCCTTCACTCACAGGACTAGCCGTGGCCAGCAGTCTTGCTGTTCCTCTCCACTGTCCAATTAGCACGGCCAAGAGTGGCTCCCAACCTAACCAAAACAAAGCATCTCCCAAGACGTTTTGGGACTTGGACAAAAACCATTGTAAGCGATGAGTCCAAAAGAGCACCCAGGCTAGGATGAACCCTGGGTCCGAAGCCAGCAGCATGTCCCTTTCTTAAGGAGGCTGCCTGTGGTTTCCCAGCAGCACACGACCAGCCACACCCCGCACCCAGCATGGACCGTGAGAGCCTGGAGGAGAAAACAAGCCATATCCATCTCTGCGTTGCTGGCATCCAGCTTCACGCCTGCCCTAGGAAGATCATCAGCTCCATTTTGTTGAATGGGTGAATGAGCTGGATACTCCGTTTAAAAAACAAACAAAACCAAAAACCACTACCATGGGCCAAAAAGACATGACATGAATGGTGATAGATGCCGCCTCCTGTACTCTGCAGGAATGACAGCGGTCGCTCTAGGGCCAGGCAGTGGATGTCAACGCTATGCTTCTTTACAAAGCCTTATGCTGGGCGTTAACCACCTCTTCCCACCCAAAAGCAACCCCATAGTTGCAGTTATTATCTATAAGCTTTATTTTTTAAAATGTACGTTCCTCCCAAACAAATAACAAAAAATGTATAAAGATATTTCTCCACAGATAAAACAAAACACAGAACTTATTCAAATTGCAACAGGAAACTTTCCTGATGTGCAGCAATGAGTTATCTTTTCATCTTCCGCCGTTTGACATAATCACTGACTCATTTCAGAATTTAAGAATCAGTACAAATGTTATCAACTTAATAGCCTAAACCCCTAAAAGAAGGTTGATTAACAGACATTTCTTAATGGTTTGCTATGCAGGCATTTAAAATCATGATATAGTCAGATATTTATTATATGAAAAGGTGTTCATGATATAATACTGACCAATAAAGCAAGTGACAGAGATGGATAGACAGATATAAACACACAAAGGCAGAAAGGAAATGAAAAAAGTGATGTATCAAACCATTAACAGAAGGCATCTATAGATGTTAGAACACTAACTAATTTTCAATTTTTATTTATTTTTCTGCATTATTTCAATAAATTTATAATGAACATGCAGCATTTTTAAGCAATAAATAAAGCAATTTTTATTTTTGAAAGAAATTCAAAGATGGAAAAACTAAGGGCTCTGTAGATCCCCCACATAGTGAGCTTGGAGTCTCCTAGTGAAGAACGGCTTAAAGGAAGGATGATCAGAAAGGCTGGGCCTGGAATAAGCTACATGGGAGGTTAAGAGAAAGTTTTTACCTACGTTTGAAGCTTAAAACTTGAAGAAACAGACACAGCTTTAATGGCACAGTGCATTATTTTATCAGAGAAAGGATAAAAAATAAAATTACTTCTCTCTCCAATATAAAGTACTTATATATCAAAAATAATACAGTGGAACTCTGCTCTCATCTTTGTCATCCAGTGATTTCTTCTCCTGTTTCTATGCAAATGACTGTGATAAATGAATCATCACATGAAGGGGATTATTTTTTCAGTTAAGGGGATTCAGCATTGGCCTAAAAGAAAATGAAACTTATGTTCCCACCACCAACAAAAGAGCACTGTTTTCTTTTAGAGCTCCTAAAACCCCAAACACTATTTCTGAAAGTACACCACAGTAGACAAGAGCTGTTGCATAGAGAGGAAGAGAGAAATAGGAGAAAGGAAAAAAAAAGGAAGGAAAGGGGAAGGATGGGAGGGAGGAAGAGAGGGAAGGAGAGGGCAAGGGAGGGAAGGACTGAAGGAAAGGAAGGGAGGGAAGCGGGAAGGGAGGAGGGGAGCAAAGGAGGGAGGAGGAAGGGAGGGGAG